TAAAAGAATCTTCCTCTTCATCCACATGGTGAACTACGTCAGTATCGGGATCTTCCTCGTTGTCATCGACCTCCTCTATTATGGTGACCTTATAGGGGCTAGAACATTGTGAGGCAATGTGCCCATACCCATGACACCTATAACATTTGGTTCCAGAATTGGGTTTTGGGGTGTCTCGTTCAGGTGTTTTACCCTTAAGGTCGGAACGCTGAGGGGCTGAGCTAGCAGTGGGTCGGCTACCGGTCGAGTGTGGGGGTCGATTTTGAGGCTGGCTGGTGGAAGAGCGATACGGGTTGGGTCGGGAGTCGAACTGCCTAGTGTGGGAGTGGGTTTTGGACTCCTCTAGGTCTAGCACTAGGCTGCAAGCGGCCTCTAGTGTGTCTATTCCCCTGGCAAACAGTTCAGTGCGAAGATCTTCCCGAAGGCCATCTCTAAACATAGACAGGATCTGTGTTGGGGTAGCAGATTCCTCGCCGTTGCAACGAATCAGGAAATCGTTGATGGCGGAGATGTAATCCTTAACTGACTTGCTTCCCTGGGTTAGCCGATTCCACTTGTCCAGAAGTTTGGGGTAGTAGGATGGAGGTAGGTATTTCTTTCTAAGTTCTTGCTTCATGGTTCTCCAATCGCTTATCGGGTGTTCTCCTCGAGATTCCCGCATGTTTTCAAGGTTGGTCCAGTAAAGGTTGGCTCGACCAGTGAGTTTCATTTCGGCGAATCTGACTTTCTTTACTTCAGAGATGTTGTACCATTTAAAATAGCTATCCATTGACTTGAGCCAGTCCAGGAAAACTTGGGGATCAAGAGTCCCATCATAAGTCGGGGCGTCGATCCTAATGTTTTTCAAAAGTTGAGCGTCGTTGTCTCTCCAAGGATTGTCGTGTTCTACGGGCTCTTGATGGGGTCTATGATTAGGACGATAATGGTCTTGGAAGTGTCCGGGATCGCGAGGTTGTTCGCGATCGGGTCGGTTGTCGTCACCATAAGGTGAGTGAGGTCTCGAGGGAGTATAAATCGCAGGATTCCCGTTACGCTCGATATTATCTAATCGGTCACTCGTGTGGCGCCTAAAGTCAGCTAGATCGGTTTGGGTGTTGCAGATTTGCTGAGTAACGGTGCCCAATTGTCCCAAAATAAGGTCCAGGGTAGCTTGGAGATGTTGCGGGTCCATGGGGAAAGTCTAGAAGTTTCCCGAGGAAAAGTTGGGTAGGTGGGCAGCAAGTATAAGCTAAGGGAGGAGGTCCCTAAGGCTCCTAACTGCTGCAGGAAAACCACGGACAGCAAACTAACACAAGGTGGTTTGCGTCTAGCAAGTTTATGGTGGGAAGCTAAGTGTGGACAGCAACTACGACAACTTTCCGGTCAAAAATAAGCCTCTAACAAGTGTAGATTTTAAGTGGACAGCAGCAGTATATAAATAGGAAACTTAATCTAAGTGGTTCCTAACGTGTGGCCAGCACTTAGGACTTGTAGAGACTGCAGGGATTAACGGCAGCAGCTAAAACTAGTGCTTAAACTCCCTAATCAGTGAAAATCAGCCGCAGAAATGTAAGGACAGCAGGGGTAATTCAAGCCGTAGTTGTTCCAGACACTTAGGGATCTACCAAGCACAGGACCGACACTAAGATGTGAGCTAGAATGTCCTAATTCAGTTAGATGTTTGCTGGAAATGCCCAAAACAGTAACAAAACAGTGAAAATAATTTATCTAAGCAATGATATGCATGAAGTTTTTGAACTACCGCAAGGAACTAAGCCCTAGGATGCTTTCTATGCATGTCAAAGCATGGTAACCCTGCTCTGATACCAAAATGATGTGATGCAATGGAGAGTTACACAAGAACTTTAAAAGAGAATTAAATATTAGCTCCACAAATTATTTAATCATGCATCAAAGTCAAGCAAATTATAAGTAATTCGCGGTATTCAATTTGCTAGGCAAAGAAACTACAACGAGAGAGCTAGATCTTTAAGCAAATGCGAAAACAAACATAAAACAAAGGCTAGTAAATAAAGAATCCCACAATTAATACCAAGTTGTTCACACTTTGAGACCTTTGACACTCTCTTCCTACGGAGACTAAGCTGAGCGACGGAAGATTGTCAAAACTAGCATGGAAGTTGCTACTAAGACGGAGGTGCCGAGGAGCGTTGCCATTGAAGAGGATCTCGGAGGCGGAGGAGGCGCGGTAGCTCGGCCTTTGATAATCCAGGTGTAGACGGAGAAGTGCTCGTCAATGGAGTCTACAAGCGTCGGTAAGATGCGGTCCAAATATTCTTCGACGGTATCACGGTATCATCGAAGTCAAATCCGACGTCAAAGAATTGTGATCGCAAAATGTTGACTCTTCCGTTACGATTGTATTCAAACCCGTAGTTCCACTCGGGTTCATCCATGCATGACTGTGAGTGGGAGCGGTGGTCGTCACAAGCGGATCTCCAAGGAAGGCAAGGAGGGTTGGCGGCTTGGAGGAGAAGAAGGTGGGAGGCCGGCGGTATGGGGGGAAGGGAAACGTGGTTGAAAGAGGAAAACTGAAATTGATTTCAGCTAATGGTTTGGGAGGGATTAAAATTGGATTTTGAATTTCCAATTAATGTGCTTATGGCATTAAAGGAAAACTCCTTAATGAGATGCCAAGGGGGGCGGCGGTAAAAAGGGGAGAGGGAATTCAAAATCAGAAAAAGAAAACAAAAACTGAAGTTGATTTTCAGTTTTAGTAGAGGTGGAGGGGGAATAATTGCAATTAATTTGGATATCAATTAGGGGGAAATTGATTGCCAAAATTAATTAGGGAGGAGAGAGAGGGGAGGGGGCCGGCGGCAATGCTAGAGAGAGAAGGCATTAGGGAGAGAGAGGGAGAGGCTTCTAAATAGGATTTGATGACTAGGATAGTTTTAGAATAAATCCAATTAAATAATTTTCTCTTTATTTGAACTTATTCAAAAACTTTCCAAAAATAGAGTTTCCTATTTTAGGAAAATTTGAAATTTGAAAATCAAATTTCAATGATGAATTGAAGAGGGCGGTGGGGAGAGGTGGTGGAGAGGGAACTAGCCCGGCGGCAAGGTGGGAGGCCGGAAACTACGAAAATAAAAGCATAATATGAAAACTGATGGTACAAGTAAAATAAAAAATAAAGGCTAGCAATCATGGACGTCGATCTCCGTGGTCGTCTCTGATAGACGCGCCGAAATCTCCTATCGATGACCTCATCATTCTCCCTGGGTGGGAGAGAACTCGACCCCGTCGAGTGCGTACTATGAAAGCTCTCATATAACTCCAGCAGGTCTGGGTCCAGTCTCTGTAGCTCCTCTCGATCGATCCACGTGTCCTCTGTCTCCGAAGTTCCTTCCCAATGGACCAAGTACCGTTGGCGACCTCCATCTTTTGTGGAAATAATCTCATCATTCAGAATGGTTTCAATCTTTCTTTAAATGCAAATAATAAATATGAGTATTAAACTCAAACAATAATGTAATGGTTAAATAAATCCAAAAAAAATCAGCAAAAAATTTGAACTATGTAAAATCAGCTAGCAATTATAATCTAATCGCCTTAAATAGATTCCTAATTATGTTAAATTTGAATAAAATCAAGAACATTAGCTAGGAAATAAATAACTATTTTAAAGACATTATATCCAGGAGATAAATAACCAAAAAAAATCTAGGCTTCGCACTGGTATGTGGTGATGACTTCCATCGGAATTATGTGGTTGCACTTATATTTTACTTGAAGGAATACACATCCAACTTGCATTCAAGATTGTAAATTCAAAGACGAATTTTTTCCTTTAATCAAAATTAATAAACTATATGCTTTCAAAATATATATTTATAGACTCCTCATCCTTAGACTAGTTGATATGATTGACACTGAATCAGCTCAAATCAAATTTAAAGTCAATCCAAAAAGATAAGAATCAACTTCAGCTTCAATTTCGAGTCCCATTGACTTCCTATCCCTAAGAACCGAATCAAACCAATTAAATCCTGTGATATTATCGGTTTCCATAAAAACAAACACGGCACACCAGCCTTCTAGATAACCACATAACCTTCTAAATAGCAAATACTGCATGGCTGCATGCTTAAGAATCATTGCTCACATAATAGAAACCACAGGAATCAAGAGGAATTGTAATCTCCCCCAATCAAAAGAAAAAGACTTGACAATTTCAAATTTCACTGCCCAAGAGAGCACGCCAGTCAACAATGTCCAACATATAATGCCAATTGTATTGCCCACAGACCTCCCCATACCGTAACCATTTAATTTAGATGAATATACTATCCTGCCATTGGATTTAACTTAGATTGAACCAAAACTGAAACTACTAACCATATCAACAAATCTACTACTAGAAAATACTATACATCTGTCTCTCTGGTTATCATCATTGGCATCTCTTAATTAGAGAAATTTGCAAAATAAGATAAACTAACTAATAAAATAAATAATGTTTTCTCAGGTCATTGCTTGATGCGATGTGATTTCTATTGGGCATTCTATGATGCGCATGTTTTGTGATTGTGCATGTTTGTTTGTGGAAACTGTAAGCATAATTGCATGTATGTGTTTTCATTTAATTTGCAGTACTTAAGAAGTAATTGAATCATGTGGCACTTCATAGTCTGGAACTTTTCTAGGCATTTTTTAATATTTTTTATTTCTTTGGCCAGTGTATTTGATATAAACTAATACAACTTTTCAATTATGCAGGTAGCTATCAGTGTAGTTGGTCTTCTTTTCATTGGGAAGTTGCTGGAACCGATATGGGGAGCGAAGGAATTCTTCAAGTTCATTGTTGTTGTCAACTTCTTAATTTCGATCTGCATTTTTGTCACTGCTATTTCGTTATACTACATTACAACACAGGAGAGCTACCTGTAAGTGCAGTCATGCTAGTACACGCATTTGTTATTGTAGCTGCAGGAATTTTCCTTAGTAGACCCGAAATGCTTGCTTAAATTTTTTGATCTCTTTTTTCTTTAGATTATATTAAACATCAGCATATCCAATATTGCTTTGAACTTTTTCTTAAAGTTTTCCTACTATTTGATAAACCTTTCTATGGGCTTGGGCGTTGTGCAAAAGAGCAGGAATTACATCTGGAAGGTTGTGTGGTGGAATTATGCTACAGAGCTTGGCGTGATATGACAAATATGTGAAAGGGATTGGAAAAATATGGTGCATATGAGATGTGACAAGGTCAGATGTTGCCTTAAGGCATTTAATTGAACGAGATTTAATAATGAAGGCAGTGAATTAAAGAGTATTCATAAAGTTGATTCGAAACTTTGGAAGCAAGAGTGTTGGTGAGGTTGATATGGCTCTTCTAAATTGATAATGGTTTCATAAGCGAAATCGACAGGATCTAGATCACAACATGAAACTGACAATGGACAGATTTAATCGGATGGAATAAAGTTGAGTTGCTTGTTACAGCTTGTCAATTGGCTGTTTAATTGCATTTGATTTGTTCCAAACAAAAGCTTTGATACTTGGTTCTCCTTTACCTTTCAGATTCATGTGCAATAGCCATAGTTCAAGCAAATATAAATCATCATTGATTATGTAGTGATAAATACTAATATTGTTAGGGATAGGGTTTTTTTTTTCAGCTTATAAAATACTACAACAACAACAACAACAACATCAAGCCTTTATCTCACTACGTGGGGTCGGCCACATGAATCCTTTTTCTCCATTTTGTCCTACTAAAAGTCAAATTCTCGTTTAAATCTAATAAAGAAAGGTCATTCCTAATATTTTCTAACCAAGTCTGTTTAGGTCTACCCCTACCTTTCTTAATATAAGTCGAATCTAATACCTCTACTCTCCTAATTGGGTCATCGGAAGGCCGCCGTTTTATGTGACCAAACCATCTAAGGCGGCTCTCTCTAATCTTATCTTCTACTGGAGCTACTCCAACAAATTCTTAAAAGATTCATGTCATTATTGTTCGACAAGTTTTACGTTGACTGTCGACTGCCTAACGCAACCCTCCACTTCTCTCATCCAGGACTTGGGACCTAGCAACGACAGTGTTATAAAATATGGGGAAAAAATCAACTTATAAGCTCTATTTTATTGGGAGAAGGTCATTTGAATTGTTTTCCAATGTTTTGCACACAACATTTATGCATGCGTTGATTATGAACTGCTAAAATTATCCTCAACCCTGGAAATGATGTTTTACTTCTGGCTATAAATATAATTTATCATAAATGTTTGTGATTGTCCTGTCACTCTAATCTACCTCTTGAACTGATCCCTGTTTCAACTGTTCACTGCTTTGTTGGACATGCACAGTTTTTAGATTTTCATTATCCCAATTGTTCGGGTATTCTAGTAATAATAGTAATGATAATCATGAATTTTCTTTAAAATTATGTTGCAGCTATACACCTGTTTCTGGTTTCCATGGGATCCTTTCAGGTTTCTTGGTAGGAATCAAGCAACTTATGCCAGATCATGAGCTGAGTCTTTTCCTGTTGAAGATAAGAGTAAAGGTTTAAAATGAATCTTCATGTTTTACTCTTTTGTTACTTTACGATTATTGCTTTTTTGATGTTCTTACCAATGCTATATTATTACTGGCTTCCTTATGTTTTTCGCAGTGGATTCCTACTCTCCTTGCAGTGGTTTCTGTAGCTGTGAGCTTCTTTGTACCAGTGTCTGCTTCTTACCTTCCAACTGTACTATTTGGCATCTATATGGGTTGGCTTTACTTGCGCTATTTTCAGAAAAGGCCTGAAACTGGCCTTAAAGGTGATCCAAGTGACGAGTTTTCCTTTTCCAGCTTCTTCCCTCAATTTATGCGGTAAGGTGATTTTCAGTTTAATATGGTGTTGAAAGCCACGTATATGCTCTAAACATATTGTTTTGCCCTCCACAAAATTGCAGCCCAATTCTTGATCCAATTGCTTCATTGTTTGACAAAATGTTATGCGGAAAAAGATTGCATACTTTGAGCGAATCTAGCGGATTGGTGCTAGGCGGAAATCTATTACCTGGATCTGATCCTATCGATGCATCAAGGAGGAGGTAAGCTTACTAATTAATTGGTCACCATTTTTCAAGTTCGAATGCTTGAATGAGGTAAGCCTTGGCCACTATTTTTGAAGTTGGGATTTTTGTGGATCCTAGATGTAGGATGCCTTAAGAGTCTAGGATTTCTTCTAAAGATTTTGTTATGTATTGGTTTGCTTTTAGTTAGGTTGACCCGCTTTGACAATTTATTCATATAAAGGCCTATAAATAGACATTGTATGAGATGTAATGAGTTGGGGAAAAAATCTGAATAAAGTTTTAGTTGCGTTTCCTCCAAATTATATCTCCCCCTCTCTTCCCTCTCCCTCTCTCTCTCAAGCAAGAAGAGCTCAAGATGAGCTCAAGAATCTTCTCCTTTAGAAATTCTTAACATTTGATATCAGAGTCTCGTTGAGTCGATCGAAGGAGGAAGAGAGAGGTAGTGAAATCTTGGGATTTATGTGTGTGAAGCAGGTGAACCCTTCTTGTTCTCCTCTATGTTGTTCTTCTTCTCCGAGAAAGACAATAACAAAGGGATTGTCGATTGGAAGCAAATTTTATGTTGTAAGCTCTTTCGTTCGGTTGTTTGAGTCGGGTGTAAGAGCAAGAAAGGACTAGATCTTTGTTAACGGTTGTTTTAAACTTCTTGTGGAAGAGAGAAGATGTGGCGAGGTGAAATCTTAGGATTTCTATATGTGAAGAGGTGAATCCTTCTTGTTCTCCTCTTGTTTCTTCGTCTCCGAGAAAGACAATAGGTTGTGATTGTCTATTGGAAGTCGGTTGAAACCGTAAGATCGTGTTCCTTAGCTGAACACTGGAAGTGCAAGTGTGTTGATACTTGTTGTGCTCTCAGTTTTGCGACATTATTTTTCATGCTGCTCTTGTTTTAAAGATCTGGTTAAATCTTGAGTTCTTTGATGGTAAAAATGAACCAAGGTGGAGATTTGTTATGTATTGGTTCTCTTTTAGTTAGGTTGATCTGCTTTGACAACTTATCCATATAAAGACCTATAAATAGGCATTGTATGAGATGTAATGAGTTGGGGGGAAAATCTGAATAAAGATTTAGTAGTATTCTCTCCAAATTATGTCTCCCTTTCTTCCCTCTCCCTCTCTGATGTGAAACGTACATGCATGGATGAATTGCTTTAAGGAATTTGCACACGTAATATTCCTGGAACAAAGAATTATATCTTAATGTTGGATTTAACGACGCAATAAAACACTAAGAGCGGTAAGACGAGCTTAGGATGAATCATGTGCATAAAAGTTAAAATCAGAAAACAGTCAATTTAATCTAACGTTGCATACATGGATGGTTTCAATAATAAATCCCTATGCTAACAATAAGATTAGTCACTACAAGAGATCCCTCACTCAACTCTTCTAATTACTAGGCTTTAGCGGGGAAGCATTAATGTGATCGTCATGAATCTATTAAGACCACAGTTGAGAAGCAACATCGAAGATAAAAGAGTCAGGTGAAGAGTTTGCCCAAAGATAAGAGAGATGCGAGCTCCGGGTATGTCGTTGGAAGGTTGAAATGAAAGGGGACAGCAGTTTGGTTGGAAAGACAGCATCAGAGAGGTTCAGGATCCTCTGGACAGCAATCTTGGCACGTTGGAAAGTTCTAGACGGCCACCCTGCAGTTTCCAGAAAATCTGGACAGCAAATAGAGGCCTTCCGGATGGCGACACAGCATTAGGAACCTGCTGGAACCTTTGGGCAGCAGCTGTGGGGCTTCAGGACAGCGAACCGGAGGTTCTAGGAGAGCAGGACAGCAGCTCGTCTAGCCGAAATTTTCAGGACAGCAAACAGGAGTATCCGGACAGCAGGACAGCCCCTGATCTTTGCAGAAACTCCATGGACAGCAGCTGTAGGGTGCTGGAAATCTTCTGGACAGCAAATTGTAATCTCCAAAAGTGCAAGACAACAAGTGCTTGATTGAGAGGGGATTAGGTTAGATGAAAAGGAGAGGAGGGAAAGTTAATAAATCTGAAATTAATTCAGATTTAAGTGAATTTGGAGGGAATTGAATTTGAAAATTTGAATTCAAATCCAATTAAGGCTTAGGTTTCATTGGCATTTAATGGGTAATACCCATTAATGGGGCCGGCGGTTTCAAGAGAGAGAGGGAGGGATTTGGGGAGGGGATTTGTAACTTCCAAATCAATTTATGTCATTTAGGAAAGAGAATGACAACTCAAATCTAATTTGAAATTCAAATAAGCTTGGAGTTATGCACTTTCCTAATTTAGATTTGCAAATAAGGAAAGTTTTTGAAATTTGAATTTCAAATTTTAAATTTAGGAAAGTGAATAATAAATCCAATTTGATTTATTTTGAAATTGAGTTCATGAATGATACTTTCCTAATTTAGGATTCCCTATATGGAAAGAATTTGAAATTCGAATTTGAATTTCAAATGAATTCAAATTTTCCCTCTCATGCTTGAGCTAAATTAGGAAGTCATTATGGTGATTGAAATCATCATAATGAGGGGAAATTATGGTGGCCGGCGGCAAAGGGGAAAGGGGGGCGGCTAGATGGCGGGTTGAGGCTAGGTAGGTGGGTGGGATTTAGGTGGTGGAGCTAGAAGATGAATTGGGTGGAGGAGGTTGAGCCACCGGTGGTGGGGAAGTTGGAAGGGGTGGTGGAGTGAGTGGGGGAGATAGGATATGACAACAAAATACAAATAAGGTAAAAGTAAGCTAACAAACTCACAAAGAGATCGTAAAACCGCGAACCTTGGACTCTTCCAAAGGTTGACGGGTATTGCGATTGCCCACACCTTGGGTCTCTCCTCCCATGAACTCACTTAGAGATCAAGCAAAGAAAAATAAGATTTCATTTCAATATTCATCATCCCCTCACCAAGAGGAGGAGGAAGGCTTAAATAGCCAAATACATGAAGGAAAATAAAAGACACAATTGCCTCTATGGCAAACATAAAACAAAGCCCTCAAGTGAGGGTAGAAATGGAAAAATACAAATAACAAATAAAATACATGAAAATAAATAGACACGATTGTAGCCATTGATCTTCGATGTCCTCATCACTCTCTCTCTTTTGCAAGAAGAGCTCAAGAATTTTTTCCTTCAGAAATTCTTAACAAGAAGGGTTCACCTTCTTCACACACAGAAATCTCAAGATTTCAATACCTCTCTCTCCCTCCTTCGATCGAGGCTTTGATACCAAATGTTAAGAATTTATGAAGAAGAAGAATCTTGAGCTAATCTTGAGCTCTTCTTACAAGAGAGAGAGAGAGATAGAGAGGGAGAGGGAAGAGAAGAAGAGACAAAATTTGGAGGGAATACAACTAAAGTTTTATTTAAATTTTTTTCCTCAACTCATTGCATCTTATACAATGCCTATTTATAAGCCTTTATATGGATAAGTTGTTAAAGTGAATCAACCTAATTAAAAGCAGACTAATACATAACAAATCTTCACCTTGGTTCGTTTTTACCATCAAAGAACTCAATATCTAACAAGATCTTTAAAACAAGAGCAGCAGGAAAAATAAATCGAGTGAACCAGGGGATGTAGCCCCAAAACTGAGACCACAACATGTATTAACAAACATGCACTTCCAGCGTTCAGCTAAGGAACACGATCTTACGGTATCAACTGGCTTTTAACAGACAATCACAACCTAATGTCTTTCTCGGGGACGAAGAACAAACAAGAGGAGAACAAGAAGGGTTTACCTTCTTCACATATAGAAATCTCAAGATTTCACTTCCCCACATCTTCTCTCTTCCACAATAAGTCTAAAACAAACGTTAACAAAGATCTAATACTTTCTTGCTCTCACACCCGACTCAAATAACCGAACGAAAGAGCTTACGACATAAAATTTGCTTCCAATCGACAATCTCTTTGCAATTGTCTTTCTCGGAGAAGAAGAAGAACATGGAGGAGAACAAAAAGGGTTCACCTTCTTCACACATAAATCCAAGATTTCACTAACTCTCTCTTCATCCATCTTCGATCGCCTCAACAAGGCTCTGATTGTTAAGAATTTCTGAATGAGAAGATTCTTGAGCTCTTCTTGCAAGAGAGAGAGGGAGAGGGAAGAGAGGGAGAGATACATTATTTGGAGGGAGTACAAGTAAAGTTCTATTAGGTTTCCCTCAACTCATTATATCTCATACAATGCCTATTTATAGGCCTTTACATGAATAAGTTGTCAAAGCGGATCAACCTAACTAAAAGCGGATCAATACATAATTGATTTAACAACATCATCAAACCTTTGTCCCACTACGTGGGGTCGGATACATGAATCCTTTTTTTGTCATTGTGTCCAGTTAAAAGTCTTTTTAGGTCTACCTCTACCTTTTTAACATAAGTCAAATCTAATACCTCAACTTCCCTAACCGGGTCATCGGAAGAAGGCATCCGTTTAATGTGACCAAACCATCTAAGGCGACTCTCTCTAATCTTATCTTCAGCTGGAGCTACTCCAACCTTACACGTATATGCTCATTTCATATCCTATCTCTAAGGGTAAAGCCACTCATCCATCTAAGCATCCTCATCTCTGCAACACTTAACTTAGTATTATTCTTCTCTTTTAATGGCCAACATTCTACACCATAAAGCATTGCAGGTCTCAATCAAAAAATGAGAAACAAATCCTATATATGATTTAGCATCAAAATCCTTATCAACTGAATTGGTACCGAAGCACTGATAGAACAAAAATGCAACTTTACATATTGCTCACATTTCCTTCTTTTTCGCGTTAAAGGATACAACAACAACAACAACAACAACAAGCCTTTATCCCACTACGTGGGGTCGGCTACATGAATCCTTTTTCTCCATTGTGTCCTATTAAAAGTCAAATTCTTGTTTAAATCTAATAAAGAAAGGTCATTCCTAATATTTTCTAACCAAGTCTTTTTAGGTCTACCCCTACCTTTCTTAATATAAGTCAAATCTAATACATCTACCTTCCT